TCTCTCTCTCTCTCTCTCTCTCTCTCTCTCTCTCTCTCTCTCTCTTTTTTTTTTTTTTTCCTGACGCGGATCAGATGCAAGGAAAATGAGCAATAGCAAGATGACAATATCCAGCATGCACAATCACATTGAAGGCCAGATTGTATCACAGTGTCCAGAAAGCAGAAATGCACCAATATAACACAAATGAAGAATTGTAACACTGGAAACCAATGTCAATGAGAGCTTGCTCTCGCCACCACCAACATGAGTGTCCAGGCCCTATCTCCCTACTTGGCGCTCGGCGCCCAGCCTACTTCCTACACAGCTACAGTCTGCCTACTAATTGACAATGCAACTGTTGACGTCAGCAGCCCACGAAGTACTTGAAGATGTCGCCCAATGCAGACCATCGCCAATACCAGGTATGTGCCGTCACATCATCATCATCATCATCCTTCTCTCTCTCCCCTGACTTACTCCCACGCTTGCCTCTGTACACCCGAAGACCACCCCTACGCCCCACTGTAGTCCAAGCCCATCCAACTATGAAGGCTGGGCTACGGCGCTGCCCTCAACAGCGCCTTGCTTCCCGCACGACCGCACGCGCTAGCACCTTGCCTCTCAGCACCAGCAGCAGCCTACGAGCGTCCGCTCCAGCAGCGCTGCCGCCAGCATGCAAGTGCGGAATGAGTGCCCTAGCAGCGAGCTCTTTCCTATATGGAAAGAGCCTGCCTCCCACGGTGGCCTGGCTGGCCTGGGCCTCTGCCCAGAAGCTTCCAGTAGGCCCCAGGAGGCTGTGCCTCCGATGCTGCTGCTGGGCCTCCGTTCCGTTGGGCCTCCCAACTGTCTGTGTATGAGGCTGCAATTCTCGCCTAGGGCCTACATTTTCGGAAAGGCCTGGAAGGTCGTGGAAGGTCTTTGCCGCCCGGCCTGTGTTTCCCCTCAACCTGCTGGCGCGTCACAACTGCCTGGACCCCAGATGCGAAATTGACAATCAAGGCCCTCTCGTGATTTGTTAGGCCCGCCTTCACTTAGGGCGGGCACATCTGCAGCAAGGGCCCCTTAGGCTTGTCGAGGACTGAGATCCTCGCATTCCCTCCTCTTGTACTTCGACAGTCCTCTGAGAAGTCTTCTATTCAGCAGGCATCTTCCCCTTGAGTTCTCTTTCGTAGCCTGTAATAACTTGAGGTGTTGTTCGCATGAGTTCTTCTCTGGTGAACTGACGATCTTCCTTGGGATCCAGATGATGTCTGAATCTGGCACGGTATTGCATTCTCGGCTTAGGAGGGCGGCCTCTGCCCGGCTGTTTAGGCACTGGCATCATTTGATGCTCCACGATTCCATCGATGTCAACTTCATCATCCATGGTTGGGGGCAGCATTGACCGTCTGGAGGGAACTGTTCAATTTCTGTGAAAGGTGCCAGCTTTGAGGCGTGAAAAACTGGATGTGTACATCGATGAGGTGGGACGTGAGTCACATAAGAAGGTCCGTCTATCTGATCCGCCACTATGTATAGGACCTCCCACGGACCGAAATACTGTGGCATCAATTTTCGAGATATACCCAGTTCTTGACCCAGTTCAAATGATTTGACCCAGACTTTATTACCTACCTGAAAGTTAGATGGCCGTCTACGCTTATTCTCAGATGCAATCATAGCATCTTCAGATTTTCGAATATGCTCTAGAGCCTGCTGAAGCATCTGCTCATACTTAACAGCAAACTCTATGTTGCCATGTGCTGCAGTGGGTTGTCTTTCGGGTAGCAGAAAGTCAAGGGCAGTTTTGGGCTTCCAACCAAGATGCAATTGGTTGGGAGTCATGCCATTAGAATTGTGCACATCGTTGTTGTACAAGCTGGCCACGAGAGGTAACTTCTCGTCCCAGTCATCCTGACTTGGCTTAATATAATGCCGAAGCAGGTGCTGTACTACTCTGTTCATCTGTTCTGCCTGGCCATTTGACTCAGGGTGATTCCCTGACGTCATTTGCAGTTTTGTGTCCATCTGTTCAGTTGTTGATTGCCACAGTTCGCTGGTAAATCTTACGTCCCTATCACTCACTATAGACGTAGGCAGTCCAAAATCACGTATCCAGTTTTCCAGAATCAGTTTGATGACGTAGTCAGTTTTGGCAGTCTCTGGCATAGCGAACAGTCTTGCATTCTTAGAAAGGTGATCCACTATAATCAAGATGTGTCTTTTTCCAGTCCTGCTGGTCACAAGAGTATCCATGAAGTCCATGGACACACTCTGACCAAGACCTTCAGGGATCGACAAGGGCTTGAGAAGCCCAAGCGGAGCCTGAGTCCTAGGTTTGTCCCGTTGACAAACCTGGCAGGTTTCTACGTACCTCTTGGCATCTTTCATCATAGACGGCCACCAGAATTTCTGCACAAGGTTAGCTGATGTCTTCTTATAGCCGAAACAACCAGTTGCATCATGACACTCTCCTAAAAATAAACTACGAAGAGACTCTCTATCTGGGACACATAACCCTTTATTCCCTGCCTTCTCAAGAAACAGCAAGTCATCTACCATCGTAAATTCATCGGAAGTTACTTTATCTTTCACTTGATATGTACGAATGATCTCAGACATGATTGAATCTCGCTAGTAGGCCTCCACCAACGATCGAGTTACATCGTCATATATGTCGAACTCTGTTACTAGCGCGCCCATATAATCTGCCCGGCATGATAGTGCATCAGCCACTTTGTTGTACTCTCCCTTGATTGGATAAAGTTGATGGTCATACATGTTTATCACTTGAATCCAGCGCTTGAATGCGTCAGAGAGTACGGGCTGTGTCTTGATCCAGCGCAAGGTCTCATGGTCAGATCTCACATAGAAGAATCTGCCCAGGAGATAGTGTCTCCAATGGACCAGCGCTCTGTACAGGGCATAGAGCTCACGCTCATAAGTAGATCTGGCCAGTTTCTGAGAGGGCATCTTCTTACTCATATACTCGATCGGTCTCAACTTCTTCCCCTCCTTTTGCGCTAGGACCGCGCCTATTCCATATTGGTTGGCGTCTGTGGTCATGACAAAGGGCTGTTCACGATCCGGAAGTTTGTGTTAGTGCGTACTTCAATTTCTTGAAGGCTTCTTCACACTCTTCAGTCCACTCCCAAGGGGTGTCAAGTCGAGTTAGATCTATTGATGGGGAAGCTATAGTACTATAGTTTTTAACAAACGGACGATAGTAGCCCGTCATCCTCAAAAACGATCGTACGTCATTAACAGTCTGAGGTCTGGGCCAGTCCCGTATGCTGGCTACTTTGGCATCGTCCGACCTCAACCCATCCGCGGAGATTTCATGACCCAAGTACAAGATCTTGGTGCAACAGAACTCATATTTCTCCAAGTTTACCTAGTACTGGTGCTGTCTTAGGAGACCTAACACTATTTTCAAGTGCTCAGCGTGCTCCTCTACAGTCTTACTAAAGATAAGGATATCGTCGAGGTCCACGACGATGAACTTGTCTAAGTACTCATGAAATATCCTATTCATGGCGTGCTGGAATGTCCCAGGGGCACTGCATAGACCAAAGGCCATCACCACAAACTCGTACAGACCGTACCTGGTTTGAAAAGCGGTTTTGTGCTGGTCCTCAGCTCTAATGGCAATTTGATGGTATCCAGACTTTAATGCATGGTCTGCAAATGGCAATTTGATGGTGTCCAGACTTCTAATGGCAATTTGATGGTATCCACGTCGGCAATGCATGGTCTGCAAACACATCCACACTGGTATGCCACATCAGATAAAAATGTGGAGCGCTCTGTCAGCAAGCAATCGCGACACAGGTACGTGCCATGTCAGACGATGCCCTACCAGTAGTAGTAGGATGCCATGTCAGCATCCCTACGTCATGCCACGTAGGCAGCGCGCCACGTCAGCGGACCCAATATCCACACTCTTTCTTTCTTCACCAGCGCCGTGTCAGCCTGTTGCCAACGATGTTCTCGCCAGTATCCCAATCTTCTTCAGTTTTTCCATGTCATCACCTTCAAGGGAGGTTGCACGCATGTGCTGTACTCAATGTCTAGACATGCGGTATTAACCGCGCGCGTTAATAAACACGTTTCGCTCCTGCAAATGCGGCACCTCCCACTTACCTGGGTGCAATGTCAGCACCTGACAACATATGGCGATGAAGGAGGTATGCTCTGATAACAAATTGTAATGAACCCAAACTGGAAGATACTCGTCAGACGTCGAAGTACAAGTAGACTCAGATCTACACAATGTCTCTAGTAATCGTGAAAGTGATATCTGATACAATGTCTCATTACCAATAGATGAAGAGAATGGAGGGGGGAATAGACAGATGAGAGGGTGGAAGAGATAATCAGTGACCACAAAAGAGTAGCCCAAACATTACCCACTCCTTCTCCAGGCTTCCCATTGCCTCCACGTCACCAATCAATATCTAGTAACAAGTCTGACAAGTCCTGTGTCATCGCATGGAGACGAATGAAGACAAACAGCAGTACACGGTATCGACGTCAACCTCCAGTGAGTACCAGTTCCCCAATCATCCACAGATCCCGATCGCCCTCCTTGTTGCGACCAAACTCTTCATGTAGACAGTGTGGCCAATGCCACGTTAGCAATAGAGACAGGTGGCATGCGCCACATCAGCAATGAAGACAGATGGCCTGCGCCACATCAGAAATGTAGACAGGTGGCATGCGCCACATCAGCAATGAAGACAGGTGGCATGCGCCACATCAGCAATGAAGACAGGTGGCATGCGCCACATCAGCAATGAAGACAAGTGGCATGCGCCACATCAGCAATGAAGACAGGTGGTATGCACCACACCAGCAGAAGCTGGCGCTCAGCAGAGAAGGCACCACCATGTTGCCACAGTCTCGCGTTGTCGTCCACAGTACCAACGCACAACCAGTGTCAAGCCAACGTCCAGCCAGCGTCAAGCGAGCGACCAGCTAGAGTCAAGCCAGCATCGAAGCAGCATAGCAAGACTGAATGTTGACCTCCTGGAGACCAAGCCTTATGTAGTGTTTGACGAGGCAGTCTGGCCTCAGGTCTTCCACCCACAGTCGTACAGATCGACTCACAGCCGAGGGCCTGGATTGTGTACAGTTGCAGACTTCCCTTTGGTCCTGATGCTGTCTGGGTACCTGCATACAAACAAGTGTGTGCATCTGACCGGCGGCCTGGGATGGGTCCATTTTGACTTTGGCTGTTGGATGTCGGGCAGTTGACTTTTGGTCAACTGTTGCCCGCTGAGACCCTGAATCCGCGTAGGGGCCTTTTCTCCCCTTCAGCCTGGGTCTGAGTGGTGGCCTGGCGAGGCCCTTAGACATTCCACGAGGCATACTGCATGGGTTATTGCACATCCCTCGCCATTGGTATTGTCCAGCAGCAGTTCCATATCACAGTGAATAATAGACAATAAGTGTTCCACACTTTCCACCAACGTCATGTGAATAAAACCTGACTCCTGAGAAACACAAAAAAGGAGTATTGATTCCGTTGTCAAAAGCCTCTCACCTTTAGCACAGCAAAGCATAGGTCTTCAAGTTCAGCTTTCACAGCCCACACGCCTAGTCGGGATGCAAGAGAACACCAAATTGCTAAGGTCTCTTGCGCAACTGCACGTGCCTTGGGGTACGGGAGGGCATACCTGGAAATAATGTTTTATGTTCCACAGACCAACACACCCCAATCACACAAAACAGAGCAGAAAATACATCACCATTGCAAGACTCAGTGGAATATGCATCATGTCACCATCACGTTGCTGGTGATTGTTGTGCATTTTCTTTTATGTTGTTGTTGTTCTTCTTGTTTTGTTATTGATGTCACTGTTGCCGCCTTTTTTTTTTTTTTTTTTTTGGCAATAAACAACAATAATTCAAGTGTGAGAATTGGTAAGCACCAAGCAACAGAATCATTGAGCATAAAAATGGATGCCATCATGGCCTGTCTTCGGTTCTGAATCTCACATCTACAGCCATATCCAAGAAGCTATAAAACACATTGCAACATTGCCCTGTTGATACTCTGCTCAAATCTGGACCACACAACAAGAGAGTCCATGTATCTCATATACACCAAAGTAAAGGAAACAGCTTGAGATGAACAAACACACTCCTGCTCCACACAGCAAGGGAGGCTGCCTTCACCGACAAGGTACAGCCTATGAAAGAGTCAAACGGTCACCTAAAGCGACATATTGAAATTTAGCTGTGATTGAGGTTGGACACATCTGACAGAGGTCCCAGGCCGTAACGCGGGGAAGCATCGAGTCTGGTGTACATGGCTTATTTAGGGACGCTGGGCCTGGTTCCCAGGAGGTGCTGCACCCCGCCAATTGACGGGTTTTTTTTTTTATATAAAAAAAAGAAGAGGTTATAGTCCCTTAGACACATCCACCAGAAAGCTAGTGTGAATATTCCCTGAGATTAGTTGGCGATGCTGACCATTTTGCCCCATCCAGTTTACCTCAACTCGCGAGCCTTCACTTTGAACCTGGTTTTCTGCCAGTCACTTGCCTTTTTCAGTTTTCAGACCGAGGAACGGTGCTATAAGGCCCTGGTTTGCAGAAATCTGCAGTCAGGTTCAGTTTTCCAAGGGCTCGTTTGCAGCACCGGAAGCGCACATAATATGCCCTGAGATTAGTCGGCGATGCTGACCATTTTGCCCCATCCAGTTTACCTCAACTGGCAAGCCTTCACTTTGAACCTGGTTTTCTGCCAGTCACTTGCCTTTTTCAGTACTCAGACCGAGGAACGGTGCTATAAGGCCCTGGTTTGCAGAAATCTGCAGTCAGGTTCAGTTTTCCAAGGACTCGTTTGCAGCACCGGAAGCGCACATAATATGCCAGATGGTCCACCTTTACCTTTTCCTTGCATACAATTGAAGCTTCAAGAGATTTCCAAGAGAGGGATCATCAAATTGATAGGGAGTCAAAGATCACTTCTGTCATGATTTATGTGTGAGTATCCAGATTCGAATATTTTGCAGAAAACTTCCAAGATCATAGTAAACACTTTCTTGCTTTTTCTAACTCTGAATGTCCATTTCGCCTCAGAAAAGGAACATCACTACAAAGGGCCTGATTTGCAGAGATCTGTCGTCACAAGGAGTCATCAGTAGCATACGACGAGCATACATTATGTTCCATGGTGCATGTGACGAAGCAGAGGCAGAGGCAGAGGCAGAGCAGCAAGGCTGGGAGAGAGAGTGTGTTACATGCTGCGACTGCACACGAGGGCCATTTTCCAGGCCCTGCGTCCCTCAGGCTGAAAGCCTGAAATTCAGGCTAAAAGCCTGAAAACCAGGGCCTACAGGCCCCGTGTCTGTTCAGCCCGAAAGCCTGAAAAACAGGGGCCTACAGACCCTGTGTCGTTTCCGACTAAAAATGGCAATAGCCTTTTTAGCCTGAAACGAAGGGCCATTTTCAGTCGTTCATCAGAACGACTGGCCCTGAAACTCAGGCACCGAACCAGGGTTTCGGGAACAGGCTATTCTTAGCCTGTTCCCACGACAGCCTCAGCAGAGGCTGCAGCTCCAGCCCCTGGCACACTTCGGCACTGGCAAAAGCAGCCTCCTCGGCCTGGCTCGCCCTTCAGGCAGTCAGGAGGCAGGCCGATGTAGTACATAGGGACTTCCCATGCACTTCACGGGCAGGCAGGAGGCAGTAGTCTTCAGGATTCGGCAGCAGCACTCTGGAGGGAGCGCTGCAGTAGTAGTAGTAGCGTTAGCCTTAGTCTTCAGCGCTGGGCGCAGTAGGTAGCTGTAGTCTCCAGCGCTGGGCGCCATAGCTAGGATAGCACTAGAGAGAGAGAGAGAGATTGACCGGAGGCCAGAGGTACTTACCTGCAGCGCCGTTGCTCCAGCTTCGTCTTCGAGGTACCTGCAGCACAGCGCAAACTTCACAGGTTAGTACCTGGCTCGTAACAGAGAGAGAGAGTTCTTCTTCTTCCTCTTCTCAGTCCACCATCTCCCTCTCACCCTCTCATCATCTGACTTCACTGCATCAGCAGACTACGAGAGAAGAGAGAGAGAGCTTGGTGACATTGGATCCAGACTCTACTTTTGGGCTTCAGACATTGCAACGAGGGATTATTTGGGACTGGTGACAAAGACTTGGTGTTGACGACATTCCCATCTCTCCCTCTCCTCTTCGTCTGATCCCCTCCTCTTCGTCTGTGTATGTCTGGACCTGGCGCTTCCTTCCTGTGTACAGCGCCAGGCTCCTTCACACCGTGTGGTGAGCATGATGTATGTTTGGTCTACGTTGAAACATTGATTGGGCTAGTCATCAGTATTCTAGCATTCTGCTTCGCTATCTTGTACTACGTGATAAAGGTCAGTCCCGGTCAGGTCAGGTCTTGTATCTAAATCTTCCACTGCACTATTCAAACCATTTGTATGTATCGGAATGCACATTGCTAGTTGAGATTCCACTTGCACAGCATTGTCCATTCAGGATCTGCCATTTGTAGTCTGGGCGCCGAGCGCCAGATAGGATATCGCCATTGGTTCTTCGTTGATGATGATGAGACTATTCCAGCATTGTCAATTATGAGCTTTTGCTGTGCTCTTATTTGGTGAAACTCGTGATGCAATTCTGCTATTGGTTCGAGGTCACGGCTATCTGGTCTCATGTGTATGATGCTGTTTGATTTCTGAAGTTCGCTATCGCTCATTTTCCTTGCAAAACTTTAAACGACAATTATAAATTCGACGGCCACACTTCAATCAAATTTCAATCTCCATGGCAAGAAATAAGAAATAAAAACAAATTTCAATAGGAAACAAAATCTAAGTTTTTCTATATCTAATTCTGCTGATTATTCGTCTTGCAATCAGACTCGCTTGCTTTCACACTTCACACGCATGTACACAGGTAGCACAGCAAACCGGCGACAAGCGCCCACTCAAAGCTCAGAGATATGGTAACTAAAAACACAGTTCAGATGCAAGCTCGCTTCAGATGGCTATGGCGCGTCAGCGACTGTACAACACCCTGTTCGTCACTGCGCTCTGCTCTGCTGTCACACACGCTCACTTAGGATCACCCTGGATATCCCACACAAGACACACTGTACACACACGCACACACGCGCTACACTCTTCTCCTAGCTACGGCGGCTATGGCCGCTTCTACCTCTACCGCTATGGCTAAGCTCTCCTTCTCGCCCAATTCGTCTTCGGGCATACTGCAGACCACCTCGCACAAGTCGCTGTAGCAGCGCTTCCGCATGGCTTACGCAGGAATGAATGAATGGCTGGGCGCTGCCTCTTGATTTATACTTCTGTAGCTCGTTGGTCTGCCCTTTTCCCATGCCCCTGGTGCACACAGTCCCACACGGTACTTGATTGACTGGACTGTGACTGATTGGGACCGGTACCGCTGACTGCATTGGTTTGCACTGCCAACTCAATGCAGTCGCACTGCCGACGTACCGCAGTTGGGCTCACCACTTGCCCACTTGCCTCTGTCTAAACGTGAGCAATACTTGGAAAGGCCACCACTAGGACCTTCCAGAAGGCTGCAAACTTGGCCTTTCGGACACCGTAGCAGCTACGACCTTGACCTTTCAGGACTGTAGCAGCTACGACCTTGACTTCTCAGGACACCTACAGCTACGACCTCTAGGCCTCACTAAGACCTCTATCCAATAGGTCTACAGATTGAACCCCTACAACCTACGGATCCTACGACAGTCTACCAACTGTTACGAATACACAGGTCACGGGTTCAACTCTCAGGGTCGACGCAGGTAATGTACACAGGTAAGGTAAAGTCTAGGGATCGAGCCCTGGGATCTGCATTCGCTACTCTGTACACAGGTTCCGCAGCCACGACCAGTGTGATCAAGACAACAACACAATGGTGAGTTTGCAGACATCCACAAGACAACCCACAACAAGTGAGTATCATCAATCAATCAGCAACACAACAATCAACAATGTGTTCGCTGATATTCTTCTCGCTCGCTGTCTTGAGCAGATGGCTGTATGTCCAGGCACAAGTTCTAACGTGTGGCACTACAGCATAGTCCCGTGCTGCACCACCCGTGAGACCACACAAGTGCAAGTAGCTGTTCCCACCAATCTTCAGTGGATGGCAGCGTAAATCAGATCTGCCACGTGTCAGACTCCAATCAAGCCAAAGTGACACATCATCAAGAGAGGTGCCACTTCAGGATCATTGGCCAATGAGGCCGTCAAGAGTGGAGGTGCTTGGTAGCCAAGTAAGCAGCAAGAGACTGCCCAATCCGTATGTGACCACAGGAACATCAACTTCATTATGCCGCGTCAACCTGGTGTGTCGCTGCTTCTTCGGAGATGCCACGCCAGCAGGTAAGGTGTGACACTTGGGTGAGAGTGCCACGTCAGACAATATCACCCGCTGCTTCTACATCAGGTGCCACGTCAGCACCAATGTGTCATGCCACGTAGGCGGCGATTCCACAATGCCACATAAGTAGCTCTCTCTCTCTCTCTCTCTCTCTCTCTCTCTCTCTCTCTCTCTCTCTCTCTCTCTCTCTCTCTCTCTCTCTCTCTCTCTCTCGCCGGTTGCCCAGTGCCACGTCAGCGCTATCTCGCCATCGGATATCAGGTCCACGTCATCATCATATCATCAGCATTAGGTACGTGCGCGCGCGCAGCAGGAAGAAGAGCAGTCTCCTCTCACACGCTCTGACAATGAACAGATGTCAGCATGGCGCACGCAGCGTAGACTCCTCTGAAGACGTACAGCAATGCGCAATGTCGACACAAACGCAGACAGGTAAGCTTTCCTTACGATCAACCAATCTCACAGCCCTGATCCTCCTCCTCCTCGCCAGCATCCAATAGATGTCGTAGACCGTGTGGCGAGAGCCACATCAGCATAATCAAATGTCCATCTGGCACCGTAGACAGAGAAGGGGCCAGCATCCAAGCAGTAGCAGTCTCACGTCATCGCATCAGCGTCAAGCCAGCGTTAAGCCAGTGTCAAGCTAGCGTCCAGCCAGCGTCCACCCAGCGTCCACCCAGCATCAAGCCAGCGTCAAGAAGCAAGTGCAAGACTGAATGTCGGTCAGCGGTGGCTGGGTCACATATAGTGTTGACTCCGGTTGACCAGCCTCTGGTCTCTCAGATACGATGGCCCAGATTGACTCGCAGCCAGTGGCCTGGATCCCATACAGTTGCAGATTCCCACTTGACTTGATTCTCAACAGATACCTGCAAACAGCCAAGTGTGTGTGTGTGTGTGATCGGTGCCCTGGGCTGGGTCCATGTTGACTTTGACTTGTGAGGCTGAATTCCCGAGCTGCTTTTGACCTTTGACTTTCCACGGTCAACTGTCGCACGTTGGGCCTCTGAAGCCCAGTTTTAGGCCTTGCTTCAGGTACCCCACAGTAGCAGCCCTTCGTTCAGGCAGTTTTCATGGCTTGGGTGTGGCCGTTGACCCCTATTCCGGCCCTTAGACCGAAATGACGATCCATGGCCCATGGCTATTGCATGATTTGAGCTCAGTTATTGCAGCCTGTTCGAACTCGGCAGCTGTTTTCTTTGCCCACGTGTGTTTTTTTCGCCCGTTTGAAACTCTGTTCTGACATAAACGTACTTGGCCCCCCCCAAAACAAAAGCAACGTTGTCAGAACTCATCAGAGTAAGTGTCAGACAATGATTCATGTGTTCTTTTTTTTTTTTCCCGAAACAGAACCTCAGGGTTCTGGCTCCGTGTCCATTCTGGGGAGCAGCAGTCCGGTTCCTATTTCCCCAGCAAGTCAAAAGAAGATACAACAGTTACTCACACACACTCCTCCCCATTATGGCTGGGAGGCCCGGAAGGACGGCATTGATTACTTCCCTTTTGATTCATGTGTTTTAATTTTCCGTTCTTTCCATTTCCCAAAATTTTCCCAATCTTAATACATTTTTGCTTTTGCACTGCACCAAACCAGACACGCGACCACGTCCATTTCATGGACACCTTCCATGGTGTGAAACGCTTCCCAATCCTTATCCCTGACAATCCCTGACACTGTCTGACACTCTCAGTCACACATTAGACGTCCATGTGTCGGTCATTCACAGCACCGGATGCCGACAAAACATTCACCAGTTAAACGACCAGATGACAAACAAAGGCCACGATGGCCAGTGTCAGAGCCAACAACTGATAAACTTTAAATAGATTGAAGAGATAACAACAACAATGAATGAATGACCCAGAATCAGTGTCCGGTGGCTATGGCGGACCATCGGAGCCTGGCTCCAATATTCAAAGGAGAATGCAAGGTTACTCTGCCTCTCCCACTATGGCCGCCATGCCACATCTACCCCTGAAGTCTTCCTTCCAAGTATCATCCCACTTGGGGTCTTTCAGGTGCAGCGCCAACCAAGAAGATGAAGATGCCAACCACCATAGCCAAAGTAAGCTCCTTAACTCTCCTGCTCCTCCTTCCTCCTCCTCCTCCTTTTTCTTCCTTCTTCCTCCTTCCGGTGCAGCGCCAACCAAGAAGATGAAGATGCCGACCACCATAGCCGAAGTAAGCTCCTTAACTCTCCTGCTCCTCCTTCCTCCTCCTCCTCCTTTTTCTTCCTTCTTCCTCCTTCCGGTGCAGCGCCAACCAAGAAGATGAAGATGCCGACCACCATAGCCAAAGTAAGCTCCTTAACTCTCCTGCTCCTCCTTCCTCCTCCTCCTCCTTTTTCTTCCTTCTTCCTCCTTCCTCCTCCTACCTAGGTCTTTGCCATATCTAGGCCTTCTCTCACCTCCGCCTTGGTCACCTCCACCGTAGCCGAGCTGGGGGTCAAGCTCCACCTCCTTCCTCCACCCAGTGCTGCTTAAGCCGAGCGGTTGCTTCAGTGGAGGCACCACCCAAGCTCTACCTCCTTCCTCCACCCAGTGCTGCTTAAGTCGAGCGGTTGCTTCATTAGCATACCTCCAAGCTACAAGCCAACAAACGAGGAGGAGCTCTTCGCTCCCTCCCTTGATATACCGGACTAGTGCCTCTTCACGCGGTGACTTTCCAGGCCACATGGCCTCCAAGACTACCGATACCCACCACTTTTGGCGGGAACATCATTGCAGTCTGATATCCCCTTCCCGCAGGCTCTAGACTCAGACCTACCAGGCTGGTACCTACCCCTAAGCCTACCGCACTTCTAAAAACCTACCCGGCCTCCCCAAAGGTACTAACTTTTTTTCCTTATCTGCTACTCTACCCACTGCTTCATGATTTTGGCCTCCGAGGACCTCCTCTAACTCACTCTACCTGGTGCATCCCACGCACACACATGGCCGCAGGTTAGTACCAGGCCCGCGGGCCATGCGGGTCACACACACATGCCAGCACTCAGGCTAGAGCAAGCACACGGGATATCAGCAAGCACCCAATCTACACACATACGCACCCAGCAGACACAGCAAACCTCAGCAGAACACAGAAATCTCAGCAAATCAGTCCAACATGCAGCAATACTCAGAGAACAGCAGAGTTTTCAGTCTGCAATTTTGCAGGTCATTACATCCCTCAACTTCTGCTGTCCAAGCTACATCCCACAGTTCTCTCCTCTGTTACCTTAGGCAACCAAGCTCTTGGCATGAAACAAACACATTAGTAGGAAAAGGTTTGTGAAGAACATAAACAAGTGAATGAAGTCACCAAGGATGAATGAACCAAGTCTGATAAAGCAGCACAATCATTTCGTGGGAAAGAACCATACAGCAAAGGTAAACGCCAAGAGCATTGACACAATGACATGAAGAGGTTCGAATTGTGCATCAGGTAACAAAACCTACACTGTCCGCATATTATGAAGGCGGTCTGCAAGCTTTATCAGAACCACTCGTGGGTCATTGATCATTCCCAGAAGCATAACTCTCAAGCTCTCAACCTGCACGAATTTCAAGCAGCCAGAAGCAGGAAACATGCTCGGGTAATTTATCCTTGACAGAATCAGCACCTCAGTATTCTAAATACAACTGCACAGAATCGCCGCAGATCCTTTCCATAAAGTCACAAAGTGAACGTCGCATGCCAGATGGCGCAGACCAGAACCAAGAACTGACCTCTCAAAAATAAAGAAATGATAGCACAGCGGAAGACTGAAATACCAACAATCAGACCCAATCAATGTCTTGACGCAGACTGAACCTCACCATCATCATCATCACAGAGTGTGAGTGGCCTGGCGCATAACACAGAGACGAAGCGCCAGGCACACGATCATACACGGATGAGGAGGGGGGAGGAGAGTGGGGAAGATATGGGGAATGTCCCCAACTCAAAATCTCGTTGATACTGATCCAAAAATAGTCTCACACAATGTCTCGGTCCCAATGTCAAGTTTGAATCCAACTGTCACCAAATCCCAATGTCGCCATATCCCTGCAATGACTTGCTGATTTCGACTGCCGAGATTGACTGCGAGGCTGTTCACTAACCGGTAGGGTTAGATTCGCAATTTTGTTTGGCTGAGGGCTAACCGAGAGACCTGCCTGTAGGGAAATTCGTGAGGGACAGATCTGCAAATCTGGGAAAATACAGGCCCCGTACTAACCCGAATTCCTACAGCTACCCTAACTGCCTATAGCAGGCCCGGGCTACCCCTAGGACAGACAGGCCCTAAGCGGCCTATGCTGCTAGACGGTCCTATAGCCTATAGCCGGGTCCGGTAGAGGCCGAGAGGCCGAAACAGCAACGGTACCGGTCGGTCAGTCAGTCCGGTCTAGGTCTAGAGAGTCTATAGATAGGTTAGGCCCATCGGTTCAGGACTTTGGGCAGTTCATTTCTCACGAAGCAGCGTTGGAGAAGCCAAGCAAGTTGGTGGCGGTGATGGTCTGCAGGCGGCATCCTGAGATGCACCGTGACAGCAGCCATAGCCGGCCCTCTCTGAGTCTGCCATAGCTGGAGCATCCTCAGCGCACCTACCCCTGGGGGTATCTGCGTATGGTCGGGCTGTATTGAGGCTTTCTCTCTCTTTGACGAACTCCCAACAACCAATCACAAGTAAAACCTGCGAGGATAACAATTGAAATTGCACTGATGATGAGCCACTCAAACAATTATCGTAACAGAGTTTGTTCCAGTATCTCGCCACTCTCGGAACTCACACCCCACTCTCTATCCTACACCCAGTTAGTAGCGCCACATCAGAATGGCCTCCCAGAGGCCAGCGCCAACCACCCTGATGAAGAACAGGTCCTGCGATGAAGTCTTCAGTGCCGATGGACAACTCTGACGAAGGAACAGGCAGCTATGGCTGCCACCACCCACGACTATTATTATTATTATTATTATTTCGCTTATTATTATTATTATTATTATTATTATTATTATTATTATTATTTTGGTTGTTTGGTGTCTTACTATTGTTATTTTTGAAGCATCATGGGTTAAGCAGGGGCCAGGGATGAGGAAAGTATGGAGCATTGGAGAGGAGAGAGACATTGGCACCGTGTGATGGTGCCTAGCTCCTCCATCCTCCTCCATTCTTGTCCTTGATTGGTCCTCTCGGACGCCTGCCTCTTCAACTATAGGTGTCTGATAATGATTTACATTGAGATGATCATGGTTTGTCCAACTTTTAAGTTCCAGACATTCAATTGCATAAGATTAGACATGACTGATAAGCAGGGCGATTGCGGGAGCTCTGCCGGAGTTCAGGAGGAACTCTGGAGGCAGGGAACTATGAGGTACGCATGACCTATCCCTTTCCCGTATACCCTTACAGGCTACGCCCTTCTATTGGATTGCTTATATGATTGTATGATATACTGCTTATGTTTTCTTCAGGACTAAGATAATCAAAAGGGAAAATAATATATGATTGGAATAAGAATCCTGCCTGGGGAAAGGAAAGGAACCTAAATTAACCTAGAAGGAACCTAGACTGTTTGGACTTGAATAACAAAGTAGGGCGATGGAGGCTCATGTGTGAGCCGTCGTGCTACTTATGTATGCGCTGACATAACTAAGGGTTGTCACTTAGGTACTCATGTGTGAGTTACCTTACTATCTGCCAGATCGACTGTCGTCGTGACGGGCAGAGGTGTCTAACACTAACTTATGAACTAAATTAGGTACTCATGTGTAAGTTACCTTACTATATGCCAGATCGACTGTCGTCGTGACGGGCAGAGGTGTCTAACACTAACTTATGAACTAATTAGATACTCATGTGTGTGTTACCTTACTATCTGCCAGATCGACTGTCGTCGTGACGGAAAGAGGTGTTTGACACTAACTTATGAACTAAATGAGGTACTCATGTGTGAGTTACCATACTCTCTGCCGGATCGACTGTCGTCGCGACGGAAAGAGGTGTCTAACACTAACTTATGAACTAAATGACGTACTCATGTGTGAGTTGCCTTACCGGATCGGCTGTCGTCGTGAAGGGAAGAGGGGTCTGACACTTAGAAATAATAAAGGGAGGCTCTTGTGCGGGTCGCCCTGTTAGCCTGTCAGACCCGTCTCTGAAGGCGGTAGAAAGCCCATGTATGGGTTGGACACTTGTTCTTTGAGGTTGGAACGATTGGCATAATCTGAGGGTGGTGGTACTCCTGTGCGTGCTACCTCACCACCTTGATTAACTAGGATCTGCTTGATTGTGAAAAGTGAACTCAGAGGATTTTGGTACTAACTTCCTTTCTTATTAACGGCTCAGGAAGATTCGGTCTTTTGCACTTACTCAAGGTGTAGTAGGGGGCTCCAGGGAGGGTCATCCTATTCACACGCTTCAGTCTAAGGCTGGCTAACAACCAGCAAAGAGTAGGAATTCACATTGCTACTCTTTCTTTCTTATCTTGTTCAACCTCGGGCAGTTCGACCACCAGGCCGGTAATAGGGAGGCTTCTGTAGGAGTCATCCTATTACTTGTTTAACGGCTGGACTACTCATTATCCAAGGAAAGTAGTAGAGGGGCCTCTGTTGGGGTCTGTCTATTACCTACTTGATTCCGATACTAAGTTACAAGGGGGTAGGGTACTCCTGTAGGAATACCCTAAACACTCGTCTTCTGTCCGAACTAACTCGGTCTCAGGACGGTCGGCTTCAGAAGGGCAACAGGATACCCTTGTCAGGATTATCCGAATGCTCTCATGAAGAGGACCTTGTCACGTGATAGTAGGGGGCTCTTGTGCGAGTCGCCTATTATTCACGCTGACCGTTATTGACCTTTGGGAAGGGGATGATGTCCGGATATTTCAGAAGGATACCTAAAGCAAGTAGTAGCCTAAGGGTGCTTTTGTAGGAGCCTCAACTATTTGTTGAAGGAAGGATGCTCATGTGTGAGCTATCCTGTTATTCTGAGCAGATCTTATGTATACATTGAGGGAAACTAAAAACGGAATCAAGTACTCATGTGCGACTTACTCACCTGTCTGTTCAACTAACAGATTGCTTGGTATTGGCCAAGTAGCAGAAGATTCATGTCTGAATCAATCTACTACTTGAGTATGTCAGGACAAAATGAAGAGAAATGAAAGAACAATGCTCCTGTTGGAGCTAGGTTTTCACATATCTGGAAAAGAAACAAGGAAAGAAGATAGGACCGCGGGAAAAAGAATACTAGTAAGATAAGAACTACCGCGAGATCCGTGCCCGTTTATGGCTTTCGAGTAGGAGGCCCGTTTATGGCTTTCGAGTAGGAGGCCACAACGACAAAAGAGTTAAAACTCTATTACATAAGCACCAAGGGGAGTGCTTGTTTCAAAAGAGAGAGAATGGAAGGACTGAGAGTAGGGTAAACATGAGTTTCCCTAAAGACAACTTAGGACACAGGCATGAGACTCCTTGAGTGAAAGGAGAGAGTGACAGATGGCTTAGGGTAGGGTTGTTAGAGTAAAACTAGGGATTAGACCTGGGATGTTCATCCCAGAGCTCACTACCTGTGTCCAAGGGCTTGACCCTTAGATATCAATATGTCTGAAATCGAGTAGGGGTGTTGAATCTTTGTTGACCTGTGTGTGCGCAAGTCCTTGTTTATCTACTGCATTTCAAGGAAGAGGTTCTACAGAAAGGACCCAAACTTCTGTTATCTTTCGATAACAGGGCGGTTGTTACCGATTCAACTTTTCCCCTTTGACTTGATACCCACCTCTAAAGTTAAACCCTGTGGTCAATAAAATTGTCACCTGTGGTCATTGCCTAAATGGTCCTACACACTCTCAAGGGTCCTTTGAAGAAATGTGAGGGGGTTGGGCTTACGTCTTAGGAAAGATAAGGTTGCCATACATGGTTTGGGAAGTGAGGGACAAGGTCAATGGTTGATGGTTGACGCCGTTAGTGCATGGTATGTGAGCTGTCTCTGCATTATTCTGTGCAGGTCTGTTTTGTGCGTGATTTTTGGATTGAACTGGACCTGATCTGTTGAAGAGTCTCGGACACACAGCACTTGTGAAAGTGGGAAAGGTTCTCGGCGGTAATAACCCCATCCTCATTCTTGCCTTGTATAACTTCTATATTATCTGATATTCAGTTAAGTCATGGTCTGTTAAGAAAGATAGGACGCCCTTTGGTAAGAAGGTGGTTTGATTGATATCTGTCAAGAGAATAATACATTACGCAGTAGCGGAAATAGACAGCTTCTAAAAGTTCGACCTGAATATCTAACGGGTCAGTTCTAGGCGTCTTACCGCGTGTACCCCATTTTATGCTACATCGATCGAGCAAACGCCCTCGGCCGACCTACCTCTACAAAGGCATGTAAAAGCCTTCGCATGTTGGTCGGTAGCTCAGCAGGGATACGCCTACCTGAGGGTGGTAACAACCCCTCGGGTAGAGGTAAGTTGTACCTCGCGATGCCCCAACCTGTCGTGGGGTGTCGTGAGAGGTATAGCACACTCGCACGGTCGGAGTGGTGACTTGTTATTCTTCAAGAATAAATCGTGC